CCAAACTGAATTAGAATACTTTACATCCACTCTAACTAGAACCATTGCTGATAACACTTTAATAATTCTAGGGTGTTACTTAGTCACTTTGACTGCTATCCCTTAGTATTACCTTATTTGAAATTCATATTTAATGTTAATTTCCTATATAATATGAAGATTAAATTTCTAAATATTTCTAAAATGTTCTATTGATGTTAGCAAAGTTTAACACTCATTATCTTCTAAACTCACTTTGGACTTCATATTTAAAAGAGCTCTTTTAGTTAATACCATTGCATGATGTTTGCCATTATGGGAAACAAGAGAAAGCAGCTAATACCAGATGGAGTTACCTATACACAGCTTCCTTATCTAAAGTGCTGGCCCTATTACTTAAGTGGAAAGATGCTATCAAGGATTTAATATTGAGATTTAAACTGCTCCCTGACTACTGACCATGTGAAAAGCATTTCAGTCAGACACAGAGAATCAAGAATGAGATTAAACATAAGCATTGGGTTCACCAGCGCCTTAACTAAGAGAAAACACCTATAGATTTTTCTTGCTGGAAGATTACTAAATAAAGATCTGAATTTGGGCTGCTCCTAGCAAAGTTCAACAAATTAGGGGAGAATAAAGACTGAGACGGACTATAAAGTCTGAGATGGACCAGTAAGCATTAGTCATGCATACTAGTTGTAGCAAGATCAACTTATACTGGAAACTTTGCTTAGCATAAGGAGACTTGACCCAATCTTATAAAAAAGTTTCTCTTTATAAAAAAGGAAGAAAGCACATTATTAGAGAAAGGTATAAACACTTAGTTAATTTTGGCACAAAATGAAACAGCATGAAGTAAGCCTGGAGCTCTGGATCTTTTCCCTCTCTAGTCTCATTTCTACTCTGTTAGATTATGGCTGAGTTTCATTACTGACTCCTGACCATCCTAGGCTCCCTTCCTCCCAGCCTCAAAAGCTTAGGGATGGTAGTAATTTGTTCACTAAACAACTTTAGAAATTTTAGCACAATTTACTATGATGCATACTGGTGTACTTAATCACATACTCTTTAAAAGTTTATAGTGTCTTAAGGCCAAGGACAGGCTATAAATATTAAGTTTACGCACCTGTCCCCTAATCATAGATGTAGACAATTTTAATGGTGAATTATAGGTAACAAAAAAGAAACCTTGTGAACATTAAAAAACATTTAAAGAGGCATGGAGGCATGGAACAGACTGACATATCTCAGAGGAGAGGGGAGGATGGGAAGAGATTAACCAAAGAATGTATGTACTTATATGCATAGCCCATGGAGACAGACTATAGTGTGATGAAGGCCTAGGGTGGGGTAGGGACCAGGTGGAGGGGGTGGAAGTGGGGGACATCTGTAACTGTGTGTGTGTGTATGAACATTTAAGTTTTCAAAGTATGATTCTTAGGTCCTTCAAGTATATCATCTATGTTTTGTAAATATATAAAATATAGATATCCATGTCCTTTAATTCCCAGAAAAAAGGCAACTTAGACCTACTCTGAGAATATGAAATCTCTCCTACAAGATTAGACTGCCTTGCCCGGCTGGTATAGCTCAGTGGTTGAGCGTTGACCCATGCACCAAGAAGTCACTGGTTTGATTCCTGGTCAGGGCACATGCCCAGGTTGTGGGCCCAATCCCCAGTAGGGGGCATGCAGGAGGCAGCCAACAGATGTTTTCTCTCATTGATGTTTCTCTCTCTCCCTCTCCTTTCTTCTCTCTATAAATCAATAATAAAGAAAACAAAATTAGGCTGTCTTTTGTTATTTCTCTTTCATCTTCATTTTATAAATGCATGCAGACATATAGCTTTTAAACAAGAGGCCATCGATCATACCAGTTTTGAACTGATATAAGCAACAATCCAAAATGTGTAAAACATTTTTGTTTACTACAAATATGTAGACTCTAAACTAGCTTAATTATTGACTCAAAAACTAGCCTTGGGCCAAATATATAGTGATGGAAGATTATTTGACTTTGGATGCAATATACAGATCACTGAAGCCTATATAATCATATTAACCAATGTTACCCCAATAAATGAAAAAGAAAACAAAACAAAAACAAAATACAACTAGCCTAAAAATTCCTTAAGAGAATTTTTAACTAGCCTCTTAGTTGAAAAACAATGTTTTTGAGCAAACTGAACAATTAGTAAGCTGAGAAACCAGGTAACAGCAACATTACCATATTATGAAAAACTTACACCAAACTAGTAAACTTAAATGTCATATTTTTTAAAGTCCCTCTTACAGTCTAACATTTATTGGCTGGCACTGTTGCTAAGAACAAAGCAGGGTAAAGGGAACTGCAAAAACATTTAAAAATGTTTACTGACATAGACAAAGAATATACTTTGTTATTTTTAGGTATGGAATTATTTCATTACCACTTTTTTTCATTGGTTTCTAAAAACCTGTACACTGACATAAAAACTAAAATTTTGTTGAATTCAAGGTCCTCATTTTCTGTCTTTTTTCCTAAAATTTCTAAGATTTAAAAATAATCTTAGGATACTAAAATGATTATAATGTACTAGCTCATCAGTGTGGTTGATATGAAAACATATTATATTTGCAAGAACTGAGAACCAACTTCAGATAAATTAAGAAAATTTAATTCTAAATAATTTTTCTCAATTAAAGGTTTAATTGGCATTAAAAATATAAAACTTTGAGTGTACATAGAATATAAAATAGTTCTAATTCAAACTGAGAACTGTTTTTATCTTTTAAATTAAAGACAACTTTTATTTCAACAATGTAGGACTTAAGTCATGCTTATTGAGGTAGATGTTATTAGAGATGAAATATTTATGAAGATGGCACCTGAAGAATATTTGTATGTTCTTTATATAATGATTAAGAACCAGTTAATACATATGGCACTCCCCCAACCACTAAAAATTGCCAGAAGAGCAATTGAGAAAGTTAGATTTCTATAGAAAAATTCTATCACAGTGTGAATATCATTCATGATTTAGCAGGAAAAGTTGGCTAACCAACTTTTTTTTGTGTGGCAAGGATAGCCAATTAGGATTCAGAAAAACAGCTTTCTAATATTAGCTATCAAATGAAATAACTATGGACAGTAGATCGATGAAATTAAGATCACATATACTAGACCTAGATTGTCAGGCTTCAAAGCCCAGGACTGTCAATTACTGCTGTGAGACTTCAAAGTTTATTTCTTGGGTCTCAAAGGTTAACTTCCATCACCTCTAAAATAGATAAAAGTAGCTATCCCAGAACTATTCTGAGCTAAAATAATCCACATAAGGTGCTTAGTACAGTGCCTGGCACAGAATTGCTCACAGTAAAAGCCTGGGACTTAGCAACAGCTTGACATCACCACTAGTGCAACGCTGAACAGTCCAACAATCTGGCTGTTCCCTTCGGTGTAAAATACAGGTTTGAGCTAGATCATTTCTAAAGCTTTTGCCCATCTAAAATTAAATCTACAAGCAAAAGAATATATAGAGACAACTTAATTTCCAAAGAACATAAATTTATAATCTTTCACTTTAGCATGATGAAGGGCATAGTAATTTAAATGATACAGAAGTATTATATTTTTTAAGTCATCCCTTAGAAATCAGTTATATTTACTACACTTACTAAAGCCAAACTTATATGTATGAAACCTACAGGAAAAACAGGAACTTCTATCAATTACTATGTTTAGCAACTACAATGCTTCCAGAGAGTATAATAAATAGCAAAACTGTCATAACCAGTATGATCTTAAATAAAAGATGACTGTTACATAAATAACTCTACATTTGTTTTTAGCAGTCTACTTATAGTTATAATTTTGACTTTTACTACAGAATATCTAAATATGTTAATTTGGTGCCTGCAACAATTTCTGAACTAAGAAATTGTTGCAGGCACCAAATTTCTGAATAGTAAGTCCTAATAGGAATCTCGAGATAGATAATCCTAATGTGTATTTTTCTTTCCTTTTTTAATTAGAGGAACATTTCATATCTCCTACTTAACAAATAGAAAAAGTAAAGATAATGAAAATGTTCAAATATGCAAACCAGCAAAAAGAAATACTACTTTGAAACCACACAAAAACTACAGGTCTAAAAAAAAAAAAATCTCTGCCGATGGATGTTACAATTACAAATTCAAATGGCAGGCAGACTTTTTATTGCCAGAATATTAAGATTCGTTTCAGTGTGACTCAAATATTTTTAAAAATCAGTTTTATCACAACAACATCAAGATTAAAGAAACATATCCCACATGTTTGTTGGGGGCAAACTACTGCTATCTATATACATATTAAAAACAAATACTTTCAATAACAGATTTTGTTTTTTAGGTATTTTGAGAACTCTTAGAGGTACTATTAAGACATTTTAAGAAGTTACTGAAGTTGTGAGTGACAAATGAAAAGAGGTTATCTAAAAATTTAACAATGTTTTTCTAGACACTAAGGTAGCACTGGGGAAAAGAGTTCTAGCTTACCTCAGTCAGGTACTAGCACGGTAGGCCAATGGAATAAAATTACATTTGCCGATCAATGTAAATGTTTGGTTACCTTAGTTCTCATTATTAAAACAAAACAAAACAAAACAAAACAAAACAAAACAAAACAAAACAAAACAACAAAACAAAACAGACCATAGTGTGCTCACACATTCATATACAAATGTCTGTTAAAATTTGACAAATTCATAAGCTCTCAATGCAGAAAACGTATTAACCAGTCAATACTCACACCTCATTTTTATATTAGCAAAAATAGAGTTAGTACTGTGGGAGTTTTTTAAAAGATTTTTCTTAAATTCAGTGCTGTGCTAACTTCAGCTTCGTTTCCATAAACCCTTATCTTCAACAGATCTCCACACTTCAGAGTTGGCACAATTTGCAAACATTGAAGTAATTTCAGTTCTACCTTATAACTAGTTCACATAAAGAAGCCATATAAAGTTCGTGCCATAAAATGCATCTATACCCCGTACTTACCCTCAATATTCAGCTCAAAACAAACGTGACAGAAGGAGAGCGTTTCTTTGTCTGTTCCCAGTTTACACACACTGCAAATGTTGTCATCATTCAAATCAATGTTTACAAACTGCTCCTCTTCGTTCATAGTGCCCCTATTAAGAAACCGAAAAGGAAAGTTACGCAATTTCAAGAACTTGGTCTTAGGGCAATACAGAGAACTTCTAGGAAGAGAAGGATGCTGTTCGGTTTATCCATTGACTAGTTCCATCCAACCAGCATCGCCATACTTGCATCTCAACACTGTACTTTTATGGTGCAAAGACACAAACCTAGTGAAACTGAAAGCCTTGCCATAGAGGACACTATAGCTAAGGGCCTTTACTGGTCCCTTATCTTATTTGGCTGAGGAGGGGGATCTGAAGGAACCTGGGTTTTGGTCATTCCAGTCCGCCTTTCCGTTCCCCGAACGCGCGCAGAAACTTCGCAGCGAGGCCTTTTCAGCGGCCGGGGTCTGTCAACCTACTTAACGCTGTTAAATGCAGGAACAGCGCCCTGTTCCGGACGCTGCTCTGCTAACTTCGCTGTAGGAGCCCTAGGTACGTTTCGCGAGCGGCGTAGCGGGGCTTCCTGTCGGAGATCAGCGGCAGGAAAACGCACGTGGAAACGCAAACACCGGGGGTAGGGCTTCCCGACCGCGTCCAAAGCCGGGCGGCGGCTCCACGGTGCGGATCGGGCACCGCCGGCGGCGGGGTGGCCAGGTCGGGCCGGGAGGAGCCGTGGGTTTCCCTCGCCCCGGGTTCCCGCCCATCTACAGGCGGCTTCCGAGGACCACAGCCGCCGGCCCGCCCGACTCGGCGCCCAGGGCAGCCAGTCGGCCCCTGCCCCGGCTCCGGCGTTGGGGAGGCGCGCCCGCCCCTCAGGGCGCCGCGGTCCCTAGTCCATCGTCCATCCGTCCGTCGGGGCGCCCGAAGCGGAGCCGCGCGAGGGGCTCCGGACTCGGAGCGCGAAGACGGCGGGACCGCGGGACCGCGGGACCGCGGCGCCAGCAGGTCGGGGACCGGGGCGCGGTGTCTTTACCGTCCAACTCAGCGCGCCTCTGCAGCCTGTCCGCGCGGCTCGGGCTCCTGCACTATTGTTTCCGGCGGCAGCGGAGGCAGCCGCAGCGGAGCAGCCGCCGCGCGCCCGGCCCCGCCCTCTCCCGCCCGTGCCACCCCCGGGAGGCTCTGGGGGTGGCGGCGCGGCTGCGGCCGAAGTTGCGCGCTCGCACAGTGGCCGCGGACCCCGGCCTCCGCCCCTGCCCCGACGCCGCGTGCCCTCCGTGCATGTTGTCGTGATTCCGCGTGGCGTCGCCCGGGTCTCTCACCGTTCTCTGGAACGAGGCTCCGCGTACGCCCCCGCCTCCAGCAAGTAGGTAGAGGAGTCCATTGCCACCTCTCCCGTCGTAGTGGAAACTCCTGCCCCGGGGCGGGGGCCGCGGGTGCGGGGGCAGAAAAGTGACGAGTGGATGCGAGAAAGGGACGGAGCTGAGTGGGGAGGACGCTGTTGGAAATCAGGAGACGCAGTAAAAATAGTGTCATTCAACTTTGGTGCCCGTTGAAGTATTTAATGAGGGAAAAGTTCGTATTTCAAGTGGCATCCCTGAAGGATACTATTAAATACAGACTCTTACATTTTACAGCTTTTTGGAAATAGGGCGCCCCTTTCTTTACTGTGGCACATTCCTCGCGCGCCCACGGGATAATCCCGGAGCCCCACCACTTATTTTAGGTCCCGCTCCTTTTAAAAAATGTCGTATGTAAATCTTGTTTTACTCACTTTGCTTGACATTTTAAGTCATTATTATTTTTTTCTTTTTAGGTTATAGTTCATGCAACTACTTTCACTTACACTTTCTGTTGTCATTTTCACGGTAGCTAGAGAGGAGACCGGAATAGTTCCCTCATTCTGCAGCCTGGAGGTGGTAACCCAGGTTATCAGTTGGTTAGAAACTCAGCTGGGGCTTGACCCCAGGGCTGCTGTGTAAAATCACTGTGATTTTCCGGAGCATCATGTGCACCTGGGCTGGTTACATTCACAAATAGAGAGTGGCAGTTGTCAATCTACATATAACTTAATGGGAGGAATGGATTCCATAGATCTTGGGACTTTATAGACCAAATTGTCACTTGATATAAATCATCAGTGCAACCCACTGATGTTTCTCTCTCTCCCTCTCCCTCCTTTCCTCTCTCTCTAAAATCAATCAAAACATATCCTTGGGTGAGGATTAAAAAAAAATTTTTGTAAGTGTTTTCTAAAATCCCTAACAATTTCCTGAGAGCAAAACAAATTCTTTTCAATTCTCAGAGTTATTTTTCTTTCTGTGGCATTTAACTCTTTTAACCTTAAAACGCTCTTCCTTTTTTTTTTCTTAAAGGCAACACAATGAGTGAGGTATAATTTACAGAAATAAAAACTTCCCAGTTTAGAAGAACAGGTTGAGTTTTGAGAAGTGTATATACTGTGTAACCACAGCCTAATAAAAAGATGTAGAACATTTTCACAAACTCCAAATTTCCTTATGTCTCTTCCCAGAGGGATAATCCTCAACCTCTAATCTAATTTACATTTTTAACAGCAAGTTTTACCTGTTCTAGAACTTCATATACATGGAATTACAAGGTATGTATTCTTTTGTGATTGGCCATTCTCATTCACCATGTTTTTGAGATTCATCGTGATGTTTTGTAGCATTAGTTCCTTTTTATTACTGAGTGATATTACACAATTTGTTTATCCATTCACGTATTGATAAATACTTGAGTTGTTTCTAGTTTTGGGACTATTATAAAAAAGTTGCTGTGAATATTCATGTAAAAGTATTTTTGTATACTTATGTTTTCTTTCTGATAGGCAAATACTTTGGAGTGGAATTGCTCAGTCATAGGGTAAGTGTATATTTTCATTTTTAATTTATTTTTTTATCCTCACCCGAGGACATTTTCTCCTCTTTTGTTCAGATAGAATGGGAGGAAGAGAGAGGGGGAGAGAGAGAGAGAGAGAGAGAGAGAGAGAGAGAGAGAGAGAGAGAAACATCAACGTGAAAGGGACACAGCGAGTGGCTGCCACCCGCACAACCCAACCAGAGCCAGGGACAAACTGAGCTGTACATGCCCTTAGCGGGAACCGAACCCGGGTCTCTCTGGACCGCAGGCCAATGTTCTAACTGCTGAGCCAAACCTGCTGGGGCTAATTTATTTTTTCAATTCCTCACCTGAGAATATTTTTCCATTGATTTTTTTTTTTTAGAGTGGGAGGGGGAGGGAGAGAGAAACATCCATTGGTTGCCTCTCGTATGGCCCCAGCCAGAGATTGAACCCACAACTGAGGTACATGCCCTTGACTGGAAATCAAACCTGTGACACTCTGGTCCTGGAGCCGATGCTCTAACTGCTGAGCCAAACCGGCCAGGGCTGTGTACATTTACTTTTGAAAGAAATTGCCAACCTGCTTTCCCCAGTGGTTATAATATTTTAAAGTTAGGACACTTATGTCTTCTTGATGAATTGACCCTTTATTACTGTACACATTCTTTTTCTCTCTGGTAATATTTTTTCTCCTGAAATCTACTTTCTCTGATACTAATATAGCCACTTCTGCTTTCTTATGATGTTTCCATATGTAACTTTTCCTTCTTTGTAATTTTACCTGCTCTGTCTTCACATTAATGTGTTTGTTGTGAACAACATAGTTGTCTTGCCTTTTTGATCCAGCCTGACGATTGTGTCTTTGAATTGGTGTGTTTAATTCATTTACATTTAATGTAATTATTGATATAGCTAGGATTAAGTCTACCATCTTGAAAGTTGTTTACTATTTGTCCCATAAGTTGTTGATTCCCTTTTCCTTTTTTCATCTTTCTTTAGATTAGTTGAGTTTTTTTTGTTTAGTATTTTATCTTCTCTATTAACCACATTTTATATATGTATGTATGTTCTGATTGATATATTTATGTATTTTGGGGCTGCAAAAATCTAGGGTTTTTGAAATAATATTATACCATTCTGAAATAATATTATACCATATTATATAAAATATAAGACAATAATACAGGGGTGGGCAAAAGTAGATTAATAATAAATATTATAATAATTAAAAAATAATAATACAAGAATAAGCTGCTTTATGTACTCATAAATATAAACCTACTTTTGCCTACCCCTGTATATTTCTCCATTCTATTATTATTTTCTTAATCATTATATTAATCTGTATAACCATATTTCATCTGGTTATCATTTTCCTTCAACTGAAAAACTTTATTCTTTTTTGTAGTGTTGCTTTGTTGGTAACATTTTCTTTTGGCTACTGTTTGTCTGCACGTGTCTATTTTTCTTTTAGTTTTATGTATTTTTATTTAATATTTTTTATAAAGAGTTATTTGGTTTTTTTAAAAATGTTTTTTATTGATTTTTTTAGAGAGAGAGGGAGGAGAGAGAGAGAATCATTGATGTGAGAGAGAAACATTTATCGACTGCCTCCTGCACACCCCCTACTGAGGATCAAGCCCACAACCCAGGCACGTGCCCTGACCGGGAATTGAACTGGGACGTTGCTCAGTCCACTGAGCCACATGGGCTGGGCTATTTTTCTTTTGATTTTAAAGGAATTGTTCTGTAGATATAGAATTCTAGGATGATAGATTTTTTCATTTACATCTTTTTTTTTTTTTAATCCTCATCCGAGGATATTTTTCTGTTTATCTTCAGATAGAGTGGGAGGGAGGGAGAGAATAGGGAGAGAGAGAGAAATATCGACGTGAGAGGGACATATCGACTGGTTGTCTCCACACAACTCCGACCAGGGCCGGGGACAAACCGCAACCGAGGTAAATGCCCTTGACCAGAATTGAACCCACGGCTCATTGATCTGCAGGCTGATGCTCTGACCACTGAGCCAAACCAACCAGGGCTCCTTTCCATCTTTTAAAGATGTCCCATGTTCTGTGGGAATGCATTATTTCTGATAAGAAGTCAGCAATGCAGTTGACCTTTGAACAGTGTACAGGGTAGGGGAACCTACTCCCTATATAGTTGAAAATCCACTTATAACTTTTGTCCTGGCCAGGTTAGTTGATTGGAGTGCCATCCCACTCACCAAAAGGTTGCGGGTTCGATTCCCGGTCGGGACACATACCTAAGTGGGTTTGATCCCCGTTGTGGTGCTTATGAGAGGCACTGACCCTTTTTCTCATGTCAGTGTTTCTCTCTCTCCCCACTTCTCCTCTCTCTAAAATCAATAAAATCATGCCCTTGGTAAGGATTGAAAAAAAAAAGCAAAAGAAAGAAGTAAGAAAACCCACTTAAAACTTTTGACTCCCCCAAAACTTAGTAGGCCCTCGGTATCTGCAGGGTATTGGTTCCAGGGACCCTGTTCTTATGTTTGTTCAGTGAAAATTTTGTTTCAGAGAATATATTATTAGCCAAAAATTCCATTTAGTTCTCTTTGATAGTTTCTATTTATTTCCTTAGTGTCTTCATGTTTTTCCTTAAAACATTTGATATATTTATAATAGCTATTAAAAAAATTTTTTTTTTTTTTTTAATCCTCACCCGAGGACATTTTTCCTTTTTTTGTTCAGATAGAGTGGGAGGGAGAGAGAGAAGAAGAGAGAGAGAGAGAGAGAAACATTGACGTGAAAGGGACACATCGAGTGGCTGCCACTCGCACAAACAACCAGGGCCGGGGACAAACTGCAATCGTGGTACGTGCCCTTAGCGGGAACCGAACCCGGGTCTCTCTGGACCGCAGGCCGACGCTCTAACCACTGAGCAAAACTGGCCAGGAATTTAAAAATTCTTATCTGTTAATTTATCATCTCTGTCATTGCTGCCTGTTTCTTTTTTTCTCATTATTTTTATGTTTATTTATTTATTTATATTTTACAATGCATCATTTGTATATTGTACTGTATGTTCACGACCCCAAGTCGAGTTTCCTTCCATCCCATTTATCTCTCATTCACCCTCTTCTACCTTTTTCCTCCCTGCCCCTTCCCTCTGGCTATCACCCTACAACATCTGTGTCCATGAGTCTTTCAATTAAGAGATTATTTTTCCCTCCCAGATATGAGTCATATTTTCTTGCTTGCTCCTT